ACATCAGTTCCAGATCCCCCCCCCAGAAAGTGGGAGACTAGTTGACCAGATGAGCACCATTGTGCAACCTGCAGCTTCTGTAGATACAAGTCATGAAGAAGCGACCCAAACAAAGGACTGCAGCCACACACTGGATCTCTCCCAAGTGCAGCTGGTAACTCAGAGAGGAGTTAAGGACCCACCTGTATTCCGAGGGGAGAGTTTGGATACGCTGTCTGTCGATGAATGGGAAGATTCAATGAAATATTACATCAGAAAGAGTGGCATTCTGGTTGAGAATCAGGCTGAGGAAATTATCATTCACCTAAAAGGCAGAGCCAAGGACGTTGTGAGATTTGGGATAAGAAACGGTGAAATTGATGTCCGACGTAACCTACAGGCCATCTACGTGCTCCTTCGTAGACACTTCAGTACGAGCTATTGCTCCTGTGTGCCATTGGCTGACTTTTACTCCACCATGCCAAAACAACAGGAAGATCCATACGAGTATTGGCTTAGACTAAACCGAGCTGCTGATGTTACTGCAAGTTGTCTTGGAGAGCAGGGAAAAACATTTGACAACCCCAGCATTGAAGTCACACAGATGTTCATTAGACACTGCCCCAGTAAAGATCTAGCACTTACCTTTAGGTCCAAGACAACCGATAGATGGTCAGCCCGTGAAGTTCAGGAAGTGTTAGATGAATACCATCTAGAGAAAGGATTCAGGTCTTCCGCAGAGGGGTTGGAAGGATCGAAATAAATAGAGTTGAGGTTGGCACTAATGCAACTTCAATTCCAGACATCCCTGAACAGAAAGAAGCTAAGAGTCAGGAGAACTCTACACCAGAGAGGTTAATTGGAATGTTAGAAAAAGTGTTGCTCCAGGGCCCAGGTTATGCTCAGGCCAACAAAAAGCCACATTCCAACAACAGACTTCGAAAAGTTGAGGGGTTAAATGAGATAACATGTTCCATATGTAAAGACGCCTCTCACTCATTGCCGAGAGAACAGGCTGTGTTTCCTGTGTCACTTGCCTCGCCATCCAAGACGCAACTGCCCGGAGGGAGGACGTCATCTTGGGAATGGTCAGCAGGGAAACTAAATGATCTGTGTGCAGGGGAGGACCGCGCAGATCACGTGAGTGAGTCTCCCACCTTGGATTTGACAGACATTGACGATTACGAAACATTGTGTCACACCTACAGCAGCATAGTGCCATCTAAGAAAACATTGATTGTGCAACGCTTACAGAGACTCTCAAAGACTGACAGCCTGTTCTACACAGACGTGGCGACTGATGGTGGGCATTCTCTCAGAGCATTAATAGACAGTGGATCTATGGCCTGCACTATAAGTGAGACAGTTGCCACACAACTTTCACAGTCCATCTCTGACATTGTAAAGAAGTCAGCTGAGGACTTTGTCATTGTTTGCTGTGGGGGTCACCTTGTCACACCTTCTGCCATGTATGACCTCGCTGCATCAGTTTACGGCTACAAGTTGATAATTCCTGTTCTAGTTGTACCAGGCCAAACTGATGACATGATTCTAGGCATCAATGCCATCAAGTGGCTCATATCAAGAATGAAAGAAACAGTTTGTTTTCTAAATCCTCTTCTACTTTCAGATTTTTCAGCTTCGCAAATCTTTCAGCTACAGACACCATTTATACTTTCAAATGTCGCTTGTTAACTATTTTATGAAAAAAACTGCTTGTTGATATCTATTGTACTTTTTTCATAATCATTGATTATGTTTCACTAGTTCTTCGCTCCGTTTCTGACTTTTACATGAGTGTGTATTGCGTCTGCTAGAGTGGGGACCTCGAGGGCTAGAGTGTGAGGCAGCGCCAGAATCTGGGTAAAAAAATATGGAACTTCTGTCCTTGCAGCCAAAGTATACACTCTAGAGGCTTAATTTCTTCAGATTAATGGGGACATGGTTGTGCTGATTGGATTAACGTGTTCATAGAATCCCAGAGTTCTTTAGTTTTGGCCTACGGAGACCAACAGTCACACAACCTCTGCTAAAGCCCCATAGGCTCCAATACAAATCTGCCGACATATTTCTCAAAAAATCCAGAAGGTACACGTTTTGTAAACTGGGACAGGAGCCGTATTTATTACCGGACAGACATAAAAAACGCATCCATGCGTTCGGTAGAGTCTTGGGTCTCGTACAAACGAGTACAATTTTTTAGATAGCTGTTATAGTTTTGCGCTGGTGGACACTTGTTTGAGGTGTGGATTCTGTGTACCTCGCTGTCCTGTCTCTGCCCTTTGCAGCAGCTCATTAATGAGCACAGGTGCGCCGTTGCCGTGGTTACTCGCACACACGCTGCAGGATCTCTGTCTGTGACTCACAGCTGCTCCTATGACCTCATTAGTGGAGTCACATGACGCAGCTATGCTTTCTGTCAACAGACCATGATGATAAAGACACTCGCCCCCCCTCCCCCCTCCACCCTGACCTCTTCTCACTGTTAATCACTCACTCGGTCAGTCTGTCTGTCTAATTCTTCTATCTCTTCCTCACCACCCTTATTTTTTAGATAGCTGTTGTAGTTTTGCGCTAGAGGACACTTGTTTGAGGTGTGGATTCTGTGTAACTCGCTGTTCTGTCTCTGCCCTTTGAGCAGGTGCTCCGTTACCTTGGATACCAGCACACACGCTGCAGTTTGTCAGTTGGTCAGTTTGTGTAACACAGCTGATCCATAATAGTTCATTAGTGGAGTCACATGACGCAGATATGCTTTCCCTTCTCTCTCTTCCTCCCTCCCTCTCTTTCACCTTTGCTCTCTCTAGTGTGCTCTCTCCTTCTACCTTCCCCAATGCCAACATTTTAAAATATAACCCCCATGGAGGGAATTTTACTGCAGTGTAGTATTACTAATACTACTACTAGTATTTCAACTGGTATTAATACTAAATGACTCTTACTACTCTTAATACTAATAGTAGTTGTACTAAAAATACTATTTCTACCAGTAGCAGTGACCCAGCAACTGATATTACTACTCTTACTACTATAAGAAAACATACTACCAGTATTTATACTGCTATTAATACCATAACTACTACTCATTCTACTACAAATACTACAATGACTAACAGTTTAGTACTACAGATGATACAATTAACACTGACACTAGTTTTCTACTGCTATTGATACTAAAACTACTACTTATTCTAATGCTAATATTATTACTGCCAAAATTACAATTACTACTAATATTACTAAGAAAAAAAAAATAATTTAAGACTCAACTCAGCTTTTGTCATATCTGAATTTTCAGCAATATTTAAATTTATAAATTTCTTTCCAATATTTTTTTAGTCCATTTCAGATTCTTCCATTTCTGTATTTCCACCAATTTCTTGTAATTTATTTAAGCTTTTCTCAACTGTGTATTTTCAGCAAATCTATTGAAGTTAATTTCAGCTTTTCTGATGTCTGTATTTTCATCAATATTTTGATATTCTTTCTTCTATAGTTGTTTCATTTCTTTATTTTCAGCAAATCTGTGGAAATTCCTTTCCGCTTCTCCTATTTCTGTATTTTCAGCAGGAAATGCATTTTCTAGTTCTATATTATTCTCCTTCCGTACAAAGTTTGGCACGCATCTCCTCCCGCACCGTTGGTCGGAATTGGCTTAAAATAGTCTCAAAGTGTCGGTACAGATCGGGAATTGTGTGCTATTATCAGAATAAGAGACTAGACTAAGAAAAGTCTCCATGATTTGAAATAAGTAAACACGTTGACCAGAGGAATCTGCAATTGAGGGGTGTTCTGTGCACTCTGACTCACTTTACACAAAGAATCATCACGAGTGAGATGCAGCTGATTTTAGGTATACTATTCCAATTCAAGTGACTCAGAGCCTTCTTGTTACAGAATCTGAAAATTAACTACAAACATAGAATTCGAAACTAACTTGTCCTGTGGTTTCTGCACTTTTAATTCCATAGTTTATTTCCCTAAATATATTTTTGTATTTTTTTACTTGTGTGTTGTTATATGTAATGTATTGTGTTATATTTCTAATAAATACAAATTAATAAAATAATGTGTTTGTTAATATGACATCTGTGACTAAGTATGTAACTTGTAAGTTTCCAGAGAGCAATTTATTCGTTGAAACGACGTTTAAAAGACGTCTATGGCCGGACGAAAAGCGGTTGCAAATTGGTTTAAACGTTGAAAAGACGTTTACCTATAGACCCGTTTTCAACGTGATTTATAATATCGGTGGTAAACTTACAAATTCTAAACTCTAAAATATTGATATAGGACACAAGAAAGGACGAAAAATTACCCTATACAAAAATTACATGGAAATGTGATCTAAACATAGACCTCCTTTTAACGTATACGAATATACGTTCACTTCCGAACCATTTTGCAACGTCCTTTTAACGTCTGGCATAGACGTCTTTTCAACCAAAATATGCTCACTGGGCAGCAATATGATGCAGTCGGAATACCTGAAATTGAATGGCGACTCATTTCTAGGTGGGAGCATGCCGACTTCACAGAACGGCACCCCTTTAGCCAATAAACCGCCACCAAGTGCCCTCCGAGAGGCGGAATCACCAGCAAACACCTCCTCAATGAGGGCATTATTTTCATTCATATTCAGTGGTGTGGGCAGTTTTTTTTATGAACGCTGTAGTTTATGAATGTGGGTATGCAGGGTTTCGTAATCCTGAGAGAAACCAACAAACCTGCTCCGTCCAATGACGGGCCCCGCATGGGAGCTGACGTAATGTCGGACCAATCGCTACTCGGCCGGTCGCCCTTCGACCCGCCCTCCTTCATAGAGAAACTCGAATGAACGAGGAAGGCTCGAGATGATGATCGGCGCGGAAATGCGTCCAACCGGCGGGTTGGATCAGCCGAGGGACGTCCGTATCAGCCAGTGAGAATCCAAGGAAGGCGGAATGGAGGGAGAGGGAGAGGGGGAGTGGGGGGGTGTTGCGGGTGTGGTGGGCGGTGCACTTCAAATCAGGCTAGACAAGTGTGGGGGGAGTGTGAGAGTGTGATGCTACAACCTCCTTATAAAGGGACTCTCGCTCACGTTGCGGCTCGGAAATTAGAGCACACTGACTAAAAGTGCGATCTCCACGCACGCGCACACACACATCCACCGCACACGCCGAGCGCCGCAGCCATGAATTGGATGAACGCTGAGGAGACGCTCCGCAGGGCCGAGGCGCCTCTCTTCTGGGTCGGCGCGTTCACCGTGGCCTCGCTGGCGCTGTGGCTGCTCTACAGGCTGCTCTCGGGCTTCAGGATCTGGGTGCTGGGGAATGGACAGCTGCTCTCTCCGAAGCTGGGCAAGTGGGCAGGTGAGTTCTGGGTTCACGTCACCTTCCTTGCATCCTACATCGCGGTCACGAAGAGGGCAGCTCACCAAAAGTAGGCAGGTGGACTCGACGTCCATTTTATGTGGGGGGCTTTAGCTCAAACTCCACTGTCCCAAAAAAAGCTTAATTCTGTGCGTGTTTGTCTAATTCAAGGGGAGGTTGATGTTGCGTAACAAGCGCAAGTAAGCAGCTGATTGACTGGCAAGATAATTGTCCTTTATTAGCTCAATTGGTTATTGGCCCCTCCCTTCCCGACTGTGGGGCTCCAATCAGCGTTTTCAGCCAATTTGGAAGTGTTGTGGGGGCGTGTGTGTGAAGGGAGGAATACCCTACATTGGTGAGCCAGGAGCCAAATTGCGCAGCCTATGCGCACTTTTCAGAGGGCTCTCTCAGCCAGCGCACCACTCAAACCTATTCGCCCATCCGCATGATGTGAGACAAACCCACGTGTCCAGTTAAAACGTGACCCACATGAAGATCGTTGCCACGGCTTTGTCTTTCCAAAATCAATCAAATCAAATCAATTTGGGCTCTGGGCCGATTTTGGGCTATACAAAATAAAATGAATTGAATTGAATCAAGCGGTGTGTTGTCACGCTTCTGCTTGGGTCGTCGGTTTCCCCTAATTATAGTTGTTAAGATTAAAGCGTCTTTAATTAGATTTCCCTCTTTAATGAACTTGGTGGAAGCGAGTCTTTAAGTGTATTTAAGTCTGAGAGACTTTGAGAGAGTAGAGACTGGGCCCACAGGAATCGCCCTGCCATGGCTTGACCCACTTGTCCAGTCTCCTGTTTGGAGGAGACTTGCTGCGCAATTTTGCCAATCGCTCACTTTCGCATTGGGGTAGGTTAATCATCTCAACACCACTAAACCCGACGACCCGGGTGATTTGAATGCTTGACGTTGTCTCTTTTCCTTGTAAAATCTCTTGTTTATCTGCACCTTGACGTGCTTTCCCTCCAAATCGTCCTTTTTTGTAGTGTTGTAATGACTTGAGCGTTAAATTGCTGCCCATTGCACCATAAGAAGCGACGACACTCACAACGCAAAGGTAGCGTACATTGAGGAATGACTAATGTCCTTTTTTTATGGTCCTTGTGAAATAATGCGAAGGCATACTGGTGCACACCGATGAGTCATGCGCTTATTAACGCTTTGTCATCATTCATAGAAATGTGATACACCCCCAGTTTCTCATCAGTCATTTCTTTTGATGTTGTTTCAGAAAAGTTTCTTGACTAAGGTTCGTGAAAACTAAACGTTTAAAACGCCGTTCACATGAATTCCATCGTACCATCTTTCTTTGCACACATAAGCTTGACTGCCGCTCCCTGAAACCAGTTCTTTGCACCAGTCTGACATGCCAACGGCAGTAGCATGGCAGGAGGTGAACAGGTGGAAGAGGAGAGGTGTTTTCTAAGGATGAGGTGTCCTCGTCTCGCTGTACCAGATATGCAGGTCTGGCCCGCTCAGGCAGTGATTTACTTTTCAAGCCATTTCTGTCTCCACCTTTTCACTTGACGGCACCTGTTGCAACAAGTTATGTCACGTCACCTCATAGTCTGAATTTTACAAGTTGGGAGGAGTTTCAGTCTTTAACGTATTTTCTTTCACATTCCTCACGATCTCAGTCTTTTTGGCTGTGCAGTTGCACAATACTTTGTTTTAGTTGTCTACTGATTTTTAAAACGTATTTTTCTGTACCTCAAAAATACACTTTCGTATGAAATTCATGTGCTATTTAGTACATGAATGTCAATTTAACAAATATTGTGACTGCTGTATGTGAATTAACAAAGAAGCCACTAATGTTAGTATTTATTCATGTGATATGAGAGGATATTTACTTGTCATTACCTTCCCCCTTAGAAATATGTACTTCTTTGACAAACCAGCTTTTCTCAAAATAACGTCCCACTTCTGGCCTGCTGGGCTGATCCCTAAAACACGTGCCTTTCCATGTGCTTATGGATGTTGTTGCAACACAGGAGACAACTGGTATTTCCTGATCAGACAGGTTTGAGTGTGTCTGTGTACAGACACAGACTGATAGAATTCCCTGAATTGAAATTCGCCTAAGGTCACATTTGATTTGCATGGTAATATATTTATCTTAAATGTTTTCATTTAAAAAACATGTTTTTTTTCGTTTGGCGTTATTGTGTGTTATCACTGCTGAAGGGGTTTCTCTGGAGTTCCTATGCTGGTCTTCCCCTTAGGAGAGGAGACTCCTAGCGGCAGAGGTGAAGCACTGAGGCTTCCCCAGCTTTTCCAGCGCACCGTGCATCCATCCACCCACGGCCGCCCTCCACAGCCAATCAATGCGTGCAGTAACCTTGAGTCAAATAATGGCCCTTCTTTAGATCATCACATGTTTTATTTCTTATTTATGTCCTGCATAGTCCGACGTTATTTTGTAATATATTCATCATATCATTTTTCTTCCAGCCTGCAGTGCTCATCTGGGCTTTCGATGTAGGGCTGAGGATACAGCAGCAGCCTGGTCGTCGTCGTGATTTGGGGGGCGGGGGCCTTGTTGGTATTCAGAGGCTGCGGCAGGCTGCTCCTAGACGAGTGCAGGCGCGCTGCTATTTTTACTCCTCCTGCTGCTTTTTTGAGACCCTCAGAATAGTGAGCAGGCAGGGGCTGCTCCACCAAGTAGGGAGGGAGACTGAAACGGCTGGGGGAGTCAATACCTCTGGACGTGACGTGCAGTACGGAGCACGGCAGAGCTGCGGTGGAATGCGCACCCGTCAGGCCGGATTTGGAGACGTGGTTGACGAGTTAGGCGCTGGGAGGAATGGAGGGGAAACTGGGAGTCTGGGAGGTGTGAGTCTCCTTTGTCGTCCAGCGTAGATTCACGGTCGAGGGGTTCCCCGTTGTTGGTGGCATCTCATTTCATTCTGCTGCATTTCAGGCGTGGCCGATAATCTGTTGGTCTGCAATATGTTTTGTTCGTGTAATTGACGGAAACTCTGCGACAAAAAGGAAGTGGCTCAAGGAACTGTGTCCTCATCTCACTGCACTTCCTACACAAACGATTAGACATCAGTCTTAAATTGTTTAAATCAGCAATTCCCAAAGTGTGGGCCGCGCCCCCCCGGTGGGCCGCGAAGGTACTGCAGGTGGGCCGCGAGAGGTCATTTACAATTAATAAATAAAGTTTTTTAATTTTCAATTTTTAAAAGTTTGAAATTAATATAAAAATATTTATGATGTGGCACATTAGTTATGTGAAACATTAGTTGATGAAGCACAAACAATTTAAACGGACAGATTAATAAAACAATAAGGCTCTAGCTCGAAACGGCTGCTCTTGTCCGCCTGTCGTTGTTCAACAAACGGGGCGCCCTCTTGTAGTATTAAAGTAAAGATACCGCATTTTCCGCACTCCAAGGCGCACTTAAAAGCCTTTAATTTTCTCAAAAAACGACGGTGCCTTATAATCCGGAGCCATATATATATGGATCAATTGGTTAATCGGTTGATCCATACTGGTTGTGCACGGCACTCAAGGCTGCCAAACATGACAACGCTCGTCTACGACGGCGAGATGCTGAGCGGCGCTCAAGCGCGTGAGATATGGAGCTTGTTTCAGGGCGCGTCGGAGAAACAAAGCTGTCGTTCTTGCCGAGCACATAATGAGATTAAAGAGCGAGAGACGGTGCCCTTTTCTCTACAGTAGCTGAACCATCTTAACGGGGAAATAAGTTATTCTAAAAGCAAAGATTTAAGGCGTGGATGGCGAGGGGGGCGGCGGGAGTGGACGCACCTCGTAGCATCGATCGGACCCTGAAAGCACCGTCTCCACCTTACTGTCAGAAAGAACCACAGTGAGCGAGTAGAAAACTCCTTCGATCGCAAGTTCACGTTTCGCAAAACGAGCAAATACCTTGCACAAGACGGACTTTTGCTCGCGGATGTTTGATTTTGGTTAAATTCTTAAGGTAATTTAATCTTTGTGTATTGATCAGAGTTTTGATTAAAGGTTTGGGTGGGCTGCGAAAGATTTTCAGATTTCAAATTGGGTCGCGTTTGGGAACCGCTGGTTTAAATGTTAGAATTGAGTGTAAAGGCCATTCTCCACACTGCTAGGCTGCCTCTCAACTATTTCAAAAGATGCAAACCTGCAGTGAGCAAGGTTTTCCACTGAAAAAGCAGCAAGCTTGGCTGATAGAAATGTTCTAGTTGTTTAGGGATGAGAAGGTGGAAGTTTTTCAAACCGTCAGGCCACATGTGTTTTTCGCTGCAAAACACATTCTTCTCCTTTATGTTAGGGTTGAAATGCCGTTGCTGTATGTGCATTTTAACACATTCTTGCGCACCTGGTGCAACTCACTGCCCGTGAAACTCTGTCATGCAAGAAGGTGACACCACAGCGGCCTTTGGGTTAATTTGCTGTGCCATTTGACAGGAATGTGGCTCTTCTTGTTTGTCCTTTTTTCTTTCTAGTTCAGCTGACTGTCTCTTCGGCCTCTGCGAGAGCTTCGTAGGCCGACTTAGAGAAGAATCAGTCGGTTCTCACTCGATGGAACATGTTTCAGAAAAGTTTGTCCTGCTGTCGAAATCTAGCGACCTTGTAACTTCGGTTGTGTTGACTTTTGAATCAAAAACAAATTGTTCCCTTAAAAACTCTATGAATTGTCATCAGAGAAAAATCAGTGTTTGGGGAGTTGGCATTTTATGAATATACAATTTACATCAGCGATGTGTTTAACGTTCTTCTGACCTGCATGTGTTGTGGAGAAACGCTGCAACTCGTCTCATCTTCCACCACTTATCTGGGGTCAGTTTGGAGATATGATCTCTCCACCTGGGCCTGAGTCTTCTCAAAGTTTTCTTCCTAGGAAAGGACCATGCTCTCAGCCACCCCCCCATGATCCTTGCAGACCAGAGTAAAGAACTGGTACGAACTATTCCATCAACTATCGGCCGAACCTCCCCCTTCAGGCACCTTGGAGGGACTTCTCCCTGCAATTCATGAAACATAAAAGCCTCCTTCACTTATAGGGAAAATTAGGAAAAAGCTGATTTTGTACTGAGGTGTGGTTGTTGCCCCATCCGTCCCCACCAACCACCCTCAGCCATTTTAGTTTGCAGCAAATGTAGCCTCTCCCTGCCACAGCCCATTGACGCTTTTCTGCCGAGGATTGTTTCATTCTTAACACGAAGGTCTAAAAATAACCAGATTCTGCTCCCTGTTTTCACTTTTGACTTTGTGCCAGTGTCACTTGTTCTTTTCTCTCCTCCTCCCCTCCGCCATCTCCGTTCTTTCTGCTTCACCTATTCATTTTCTTGCTTGGCTCCAGTTCTATTTTTAGCCCGGCCCTAGGATCCCTCCCTGCCCCACTTCACCCTCCTCTTCTGTGGCGCTCCATGTTCGTCATCACTCCCTCCTCTCTACGTCCCCTCTCTCATCTTGTCTCTTTCCTGCTGCCCAGCTCTTTGCCAGAGAATGTCCTCCACGTCCATTAATCTTTCATTAAGCCTGGCTGATCATATATTCATGATGCGCGACTGTTCGAGTATCCCTCCTCGCCACCACCACACCCCCTCCATTGTATTTGTTTGCCCCCCTCATTCCTTCCTCATTTCCATCCTCAGTCAAGGAGCTTGGGTTGATGGGCAGTGAATGTTTAAAAATAGCCCTGCTTGCTTGACAGGGTAAGGAGTACGCCGAGGAACATCCGCTCCCGGTCTCTGCCCTCCCACACCATCACCATGAGGCCACTTTACCATCATTTCTGTTTCTGTGCTTATATGAATTCTTTACCCTTGCTGTTCTCGTCGTCTCTGCGCCCCCCCCTCCCACCCCCCGCCCCCCCTCCTCCCCTCGTTCCACCTTTTTGTCTTAATTGTAGATTGGCTTGATTAAAAAAAAAAAATTTAACCTGCAGTCAGATAAACGACTCTTGAAGATCCCCTTCAGGAACTGTGAGCGTAGAGGTATCAGTGGGTGTTCAGGGCTTTGTGAATCTCGTACCGTCTTCGATCTTTGTTCTCCTTCAATCTACACCATTTTATCTCTGCCTCTGTACAATCTCAGTTCCCTCTGTAGACTTTGTTCCTGAATCTTTGATTGGGCTCCTATCTATATTATCTTGCATTGCATTTGCAAATCTGCTGCATAATGGACTCCCTGTTTTGTTTTTATAAATGTGTTACCCTCATCAAAATAAAACTTGGCTTTCTTTCTTGAATCGTAGCTGAATAGTGTTGCCGGGTGTGGCCGAGAATGGATTTGCTCCACACAAGTCTTGTGTGATCTCCATGTTGGGCCTCTGAGACCTCATTGTGACACCTGGAAGCTGTCAAACCTGATGTGAAGGCGTGTTGCAGCCTGTGAACAAAGAGGATCACATTTTTTTGTTTTATATGTAGGGCTGTTATGAGATGTAAACAATAAGAGCCGACGGGGTTAAAGAATAACATCATTCATTCTCAAGAAAAATTAGCCATTCTTGACTTTTTGGGGACTTTTCTAATAATTACTCTCTTATTAATTTAACAGAAGCTTACTCGACCTCTGGCTGAATAGTGTGTTGTGAGGACAACCTTGCCTTATATCTCCTCTCTCTTTCTCCAGTTGTGACGGGAGCCACGGATGGAATCGGGAAATCCTATGCGGAGGAGGTGAGGCTCCAGGACCCGTATTTATTTAATTTCTGCCATGACACACACACACACACTGTATTTGCTCATAAGCCACTGGAGGGAAGAGCTCTTATGGGCCTATTAATGTAGAAAAGACTCCTCGCACACACACCAACAAGGTCCATACGTATAATGAGCTCACGTTGGAGGTGGGTGTGGCTGGCTGTATGATGGTCATGTAGGACCTTTGACTCGTACAGTCAGTGGAGCTAGCTGGTGGTCACACAGCCGAACGCCAACATTCTACCTGGTGTATTAAGGCAGACACCTGTTTTCACATGATGAACCCCCCTCTGTGACCTTAACTGTCAAATCAAATCCCTTTTTTGAGTGGGATGCACAGAAACATCTCGTGCTGATTTGAGCCTTTGTGAGTCTGAGGACTTGGAGGAAAAGAAAGCAGGCTAACTCTTCAGACTCTACAGTCTGCTTTATTGGCCCCGTATTTACATACATCTATACATTTACATTTACGTAGATTTACAAGGAATCTGACTTTTCCGTTGCTTTCAACCTACAGAAATAGACAAACCAACTTGTGCGTTCGTTGCTAACGGTTGTTTCTTTTGCAGCTGGCTCGTCGAGGGTTCGCCATGATGTTGATCAGTCGCTCCCAGGACAAACTGGATGGCGTGGCCAGAACGCTTAGTAAGTGTGCACAAATGGAACATCACACAATGTTGATGTTGAGCGCACAGTGGATGTATTTTCACTGCTGCTACAAATGTGTGCAATCTTTCCATTTTTTTAAAAACCGAGTGTTTGTTTAACCGAATATCATTTGAGAGTAGTTTTTATTCTTGATCATTTTAGGAACCATCTGTTCCTCAGAGGTATTAGTTGGAAACAAGAACTCACGTTCCTCGTTCACGTCTACACATTTGGCAAATGAGCCAGTCTTCTGAAAGAACTTTTTTTAATTTGAACAGATACTTTTCAAAAAGTGCCGTCTCTGACCCTCCTTCCATCCGCCTCTGACGTCTCCCATGGAGCAATTTCCCCAGTCGTGCTCAGAGTCCACAGAGGGGACTGATGGGTAGTAACGAATGCCAAATTCTGGTACTCCTTACTCACAATTAGGCTGACAAAACTCACTCAGAACTCAAAACTCTCATTTGACGCAGCCCCAGATGAATCCTTCAATTTGGAAACCTTTTTTTTGCCACGATGTCTGAAGCTTTTAGAATTTTCTTTGGCATGGACTCAAAGGGGTCATGACAACCGAAGATCTCAGGGAGGCTCCCAACCCTTTTCATCCCCTTTTTCTTTTTTAAATTGTCATACCTGAGATTCCCCATTTCTTTTCTTTGAATATCCACTCAGACTACCAATCTTCCCCTGCTGCCTATTAGCAAAATGGGTCTTGGAACAATAAATTGTAATTGCAGCAGGTGCGTTAAACCCGCCGTGGAGGGAGGGTTGGAGGAGATGGAGAAGCTCGCTCGGCTGGTTTGCTGGTACACAGTGCCCTCTTCAGTTCTGCTAACTGGTTTTATGCTCCTTTCATTTGACTGGATCCAGGGTATTGAATCATGATTTTTCTGTTGTGGGTCGATGTTTCTGACATATGACAAGGAGTGAGTGGTTAGAAGGTGACATGAATAAGTTTGTTTTAGTTTTTCCTAACAATATGACTTTCATTCCTACAGCTGAGGTGCTTTGTTCGTTGCCCTGCCTAGATATCATTGTGGCCTTTTTTAAAGAGTAAATGGGACACCGGTTTTCTCCCTTTTCCAGAGGAGCAGTTTAAAGTCAAGACCAGAACCATTGCAGTTGACTTTGGCAAGACGGACATCTACAACAAGATCGAGGCGGGCCTGGCTGGTCTAGAAATTGGAGTTCTTGGTAAGAGTTCCAGGACGGTTTGTCCAATTATCATTCAACCCTTTCCGGTGAGCAGGCACATGTTACTGTAAGAAACTTTATTGCAAACAATACTAGACAGACTCCATCACTTGACATATCATCGGGCTTGTATTTGATGCTTTGTGTTTTCAGTCAGGTGTGTGCTCCCTGTGGACTGCGGGGTGGTTGAGACGTGATGCTAGAACACAACAGATGAACACTCTTTTGTGGGTGGCATTTTTGCAGGTGTCCGTTCCTTCTCAGACTCTTAAAGACCACATCGCAGAAGAAAGTCAGAAAACATTAAATGTTTAAATGCTAAATGTTTGAAGTTGCATTATGACATCAGCTGCGGTGTACGGTGTACTTTCTAGTGGAACGCTGAAAGAACTCTTTGTCCTTTTTCTTTCATATAAATGATGCCAATTGTGCTCTACCGGTTGTAAGGTGTGGCTGTGTCTCATGTGGGGTGAAACACTGGCCTCTATTGTGTTGCCTTTTGCTGCCCCTTGGTGGTACGAACGGGAGCTGGTTGTGTTACTCCAGCACTTTTTTTTTGTGTGGACCCTGTAGAATAATGTTTTTCCTTTTGTTACAGTAAACAATGTTGGTGTGTCATACCCCTACCCTGAGTACTACCTCCAAATTCCTGATCTTGACGACGTGAGTGTTTCACTTATTTATTTGTTAATGGAAGTTCTCTGAAGCGAAATAGCTGCTCTCAGCTCTCAGATGAATTAAAATGCTGTCTCGTGCCTCACGTGGCCTTCATCCAGTCCTGTTTACAATCATCTGGTACCTTTTAATTGTAACACCATCTTGTACGTGGTTGCTTATGTATCCTGTGCTTTCCGCATTTCAGTTCATCACAAACATGATAAATGTCAACATCACCTCAGTGTGCCAGGTGAGTTTGTCTCTGCGCACCCTCGGGTGGGGGGGCAAAATATTCCCAAAGTACCTGCAGCCCAATGGGTCGCATGCAACGGTTTAATCTGACCTCTAGTTGCAGGGCCGTGTCCATCACTCCCACCCCGTATGTTCATTCTCCCTCTTATCCCCCCTCTTCTGCTGGTTCCTTCATGGTACCTGCAGTGTCTCAGTTGTTCTCAAAGCAACAGTGGACTACGCCGACGCTGTCTCTACTCGCCACCCACACTCTCTCTCCTCTGCCTTACTTTTTCTTTTTAGATTAGTCTTTCCCAGTCCACTCAAGTCTTGTTTGCGAGTTTCATTGTTTTTGTGTGACTTTGACGGTAACTGGGCTTGTGGTGTTGTTCCTTGTAGATGACCCGTCTGGTGCTGCCCAAAATGACTGCGAGGTGAGTTAAATAACGGGCTTCCATGTTTTGCAACATGACTGCAGTCAAACATCTGGGTTGAGATTGAGGTTGTGGCGGAGATGCCACACAAGCCATCTAAGAATTAAAAAGATATTTGGGAAACTGCTTCTGTAAAGGTCTTTTTTAAAATTGTATTATTCTGAAATGGGGATTAGAGATCCTTACCAAGCCCTTTTTATCACTGCATCTCTTTTCCTCTCCTTTGTTCGCAATGCTGACGGGCTTTCAATTCACACAAAGTGTTCCTCCCACCCGATTGGCTGCTCTGTTCCCATGTGACTCCTGCTGGCCAATAGCGCTGCAGGCACATTTGGTGCCGTGTGAGGCAGGAGCGTCGCTCCACTACATCACTGCAGCAACAGGCTGCCATGGCAACACACACACACACTAGCACACAGTTCTAGTGTGTGTGGAGCATCACTTTGTGTGTATTTGTAAGTGCTGAATGCGTACAGGCAAAAGGTTCCCGACAACATCAATTAAGTGTTTGGTTTTTTGTTTGTGGATTTGAAGAAAGGGAGAAAAAGTCTAGAAAATTACGATGATAGCACTGTTCTGGGATCAGCGCTTCACAACGTGAGGGAAGCCCTGTGGTGTAGATTGTGTTGTTATGGCAGCAGTGTTTGGAAAAAAATCCCCAAATGACTTATTTAGTCATTAAATCTACCTTGTCTGTTTCTCAGGTCCAAAGGTGTAATCCTGAACATCTCCTCCGCAAGCGGAATGTACCCCGTCCCTCTGCTTACGGCCTATTCCTCCACAAAGGTATATTCTACATTTCCACATTGTGTCACTTATCATAAAGCAAACATTCTCTCTGCTTAACTAAATTGTTTTATTCAGTCAGTATCTTTCTTGTTTAATGAGGCGTAGGCAGTGTTTTTTTTTTTTTTTGCATTATTCCGCGATTTTGGTGACACCAGACTAACATTTACCTTCTCTCATCCTTCTATGTGCAGGCCTTTGTGGATTTCTTCTCTCGTGGCCTCCACGAGGAGTACAGGCGTCAAGGCATCATCATTCAGGTGGGTTTGGGGTTTGTCCAATGGGATTTATTCAGGAGGGGTTCTTTTGGACAAGGATGTGTTCAAGATGTCAATAGCGGGTAGAGCGAGTGTGCTGGGAACCGCAAGCTTGGTGGTTCGAGTCCCGGCTGCTCCATGTCTCAAGTCGAAGTGTCCCTGAGCAAGACATCTAACCCCTAATTGCTCCCTGGGCAAAATGTAAAAGCCATGGGTTTAAAGTGTAATGTAAGTCGCTTTGGATAAAAGCGTCTGCTAAATGACCTGTAATGTAATGTAATTAGGACAGAATTAACATTATTTCCGAGAAACCTTTGCCTGATGGGATGTAGGATTTATCAATCTTATCCTTAATCAAGCCAAAAAGAATTTACTAAATCCTGAGCCAACGCCAAGAAAACACATGCATGAATGCGTTGTTTTTGTTTTGTTTTTTAAAACGTTTTTCCACACAAACCTTGTTTTGTTCCGTTTTTAGCCCCTTCAGTACAGTTCACTCTTTTCCCCCCTTGTGGTGAAAGTGTCTAACTGCAGTTTCACCTCAACAAACCCTCCAGTATGATTTCACACTGACCCCAGTCATCTGACAAGTATATGAGAAATATTATATGGATTGTTTTTATTTCAGTACATCAGATAGGGCCATTGATTGAAATGCAACTGTTTATTCTAAAAAAATCGAGTTCAACATGGGAGAGAGACCCAATGAATGAATGACCCAATTGAAGTGCTAATTTAGTCAAATCCCAAATTGAATGTTTTACATGTAAATATCCCTCCCTCCTTTCGTGAGTACCAGATCCTCCAGATAAAATTAAGAAATTACACACTGGATTTGTTTGTCTTCCTGCAGAGTGTGCTGCCCTTCTTCGTGGTCACTAAAATGACTCGTATCAAGAAGCCCACCCTGGACAAGCCCACACCGGAGCGCTACGTGGCTGCTGAGCTCGCCACTGTGGGGCTGCAGGGCCAGACCAACGGCTACTTCCCCCACGCTGTCATGGTGAGAGGAGGGGGAGAAAAAGACTGAAAACTATATATAAGAATTTGACAAAGCTTTTGCATCTTATTTCATTGTGTTGTTTCTTTCCTTGCAGGGTTGGCTGACCACCAAGCTGGTTCCGATGAAACTCGTCATCTTCTTCGGCGCCAGGATGAACCGCCTGCAGCGCACCGGTTACCTTCAGCGGAAGAAGCTGCGGGAGCAGAGGAACGGAGGCATGTTGAAGAATGACTAGAAAGACGTGCTCTTCAGACCCCGGTGCAGCATTTGAGGAAAGCGGAGGTTGTGTTGTGGTTTTTGTGGAGATCTCAGACATGCACCTTCAGTTTGCATGTGGAAGCACATTTATGACTGTAAAAAAGGTAAACTTTTTTATATATTTGTAAAATAATTTATTTTATATTTAGTATGAACACACACGCTAAACTCTTTAAAAGTTTTTTAAGGCTTCCAACCGAATTCAAGCTTCCAACCTAGTTCTGTTTACAAACCATCTTCTTTCTGTCACGTCTGTTTACTTTCATTACTGAACTGCCATTGTCTTGCAATGGTTTCTTTTTATTTTATATATATTATTGGGTGTTAACAAAATACTTTCTGGTGGGTTGTTGTTGTTGTTGCACAAATGTTTTGCTGCTTCTAAACCGAAGTGTTCTCATTAACTGGTATTCATAAAAAGTGCCTTTTTACTGAGAATGAATGCAGGAAAAGGTCAGACAAACAAGTGGTTGTCTGGTTCAGAATGTTTTCTGAAAGCTACAGTTTGTGGCTCTTTTTAATCTAAATGTAAGCCTTCAAAGACAGAAAAACCTCAACTGCTGTGCATTTAAAGTTATTTCTCCAGTGTTGTTTTTGAGAGGATTTCACACGGGTCGAGAATATTCCCTTCAGTTGGAGTTTAAAGTAAAATGCCTAATGCCTACAGACTGCTGCAAAAAACAGAGAACTGCTCTTCCTCTCACATGTTTATGCACAAATGAATATTCCATGCAACTTGGTCTGCCCTGTGCGTGACAAAGTGGTCGTGTGAATGCTTCTCAGTTTTTGTACAGTTTTTGTCTTTTTAAATAAAATCTGCTTGGAAATCAAAAGATGTTATGTAAAATTTCTATGTCTAAAATATAGCTGCCTAATTGTGTTTTCAACTGTTTGTTAATAAAAGTTCTGGCATACAGCATAGTGGTTGTTGTGTTCCTTCCTTAACTGATTTAATGACGGGTTTGGAGTTTTAGATGGTTATTTATCATACTTCAAGTCAGCAGCTCGATAAAGCTAATGAAATCTGAACTTCACGTGAAGTATTCCCTCTCGTAGTATGAGTAGGAATTGCAATGCTGGCGTAGTTAAGAAGTCCCGGCCAATCGGAGGATAACCATTGCAGTTCCCGCCCGCTCAAATGACCTGACTGATCGCAGCTGAGGGCGGCTGTCAGACCAGATTGTGGAAGAGCAGCATCCAGCAGTCGCTTGACTTCCTCGCTCTCACCGAGACCTGGATCACACCTGAGAACACATCCACCCCAGCCGCCCTCTCCTCCGCCTTCTCCTTCAGCCACACTCCCAGGCCCACTGGTAGGGGTGGTGGCACAGGTCTACTCATTTCACCCAAATGGAGCTTTTCTCTTTACCCTCTACCACCATCCACCCCATTGTCCTTTGAATTCCATGCTGTAACAGTTACTCACCCGGTACAATTAACCATCGTTGTCCTTTACCGTCCACCAGGCTCCTTAGGTCATTTCTTGGAAGAACTGGACATTCTCCTGTCTAATTTCCCTGAAAATGGACCTCCGCTCATCCTCCTGGGTGACTTCAAAATCCAGACAGAGAAGTCATCTGACCTCTTACACCTACTTTCTTCTTTCGCTCTGTCACTCAGTCCCTCTCCTCCTACTCACAAAGCCGGCAATCACCTTGACTACATCTTTACTAGAAACTGCTCTACCACTAACCTCTCTGTAACTCCACTTCATGTGTCTGATCACTTCTTCATCTCTTACTCCCTTCCACTCTCTATAACTAACAAACCTCCCTCATTGACTGACTCTGTACCTGTTCGTCGCAATATTAGCTCCCTCTCTCCCTCCTCGCTGGCATCCTCTGTTCTATCAGCTCTCCCTTCAACTGATTCCTTCTCACTCTTGCATCCGAACGCTGCTGCAGAGACTCTCCTCTCAACTCTTTCCTCCTCTCTAGACTCTCTCTGCCCTCTTACGACACGACGGACTGGCAAATCCCCTCCGGCTCCGTGGCTGTCTCAACCGGTGCGTGCCATGAGAGCCACCATGCGAGCATCGGAAAGGAGATGGCGTAAATATAAACGACCTGATGACCTGCTTAAATTTCAATCTCTCCTCGTTTTCTGCTTCTATCTCTGCTGCCAAAAGCTCTTTCTACCAATCCAGAATTGAATCTTCATTTTCTAAACCCAAAAAACTCTTCTCGATCTTCTCCAATCTCCTCGAACCCTCTACCCCTTCTCCCCCCTTCTTCCGGGAGACTTTGTCAACTACTTCACCAAGAAAATAGCTGACATACGCTCCTCCTTCTCAAACCCACTTCCTACTTCTCACGTCCCACCGACCTCACCTCTTTCGCCCTCACTTTCCTCTTTCACCGCCCTCTCTCCTAACCAAATTCTTACCCTAGTAACCTCTGCCCGTCCGACCACCTGCCCTCTTGACCCCATTCCGTCACATCTTCTACAATCTATCGCACCTGACCTTCTTCCGTTCCTCACCTGTCTCATCAACAACGCTCTGTTATCTGGCTGTTTTCCCAATTCTCTGAAGAAGGCAACTACAGACCAGTCTCTCTTCTTCCCTTTTTGTCCAAAACCCTTGAATGTGCTATCTTTAATCAACTCTCCTCTTATCTCCACCGTAACAACCTCCTTGACCCCCACCAGTCAGGTTTCAAGGCAGGCCACTCCACAGAGACTGCTCTCCTTGCTGTCTCAGAGCAACTCCACACTGCTAGAGCCGCCTCTCTCTCTGTCCTCATCCTTCTGGACCTCTCTGCTGCATTTGACACGGTCAACCACCAGATCCTTATTTCCTCCCTTCAGGAACTTGGTGTCACAGGCTCTGCTCTCTCCCTTTTCTCGTCCTACCTCGACGGCCGCACCTACCGGGTAACCTGGCGAGGATGCTAAACGACTGTACTCTGAGAAACTCCAACAACAGTTCTCAGCAAGTGACTCTGCTTCGGTCTGGAGAGGCCACAAACACCTCACCAACTACAAGCCAAAAACCCCCACTCCATGAATGACCTCCGCCTGGCAGACGAGCTGAATGAGTTCTACTGCAGATTTGAAAGACAATGTCCTGATCCCATCCCCCACAGCTCCACCAACCTGCTGCAGTCCCCCTCCCCTCCCTCCCCCAGCCCATCAGGTGCTCACGCCTCTTCAACTATATCACCTTCCCCTCCCCCACCAGCAACGACCCTCTCTATTCTGGAGAGAGACGTTAACCGGCTCTTTAGAAAACTAAATCCCCGTAAGGCAGCCGGTCCGGACTCAGTCTCCCCTCACTCTCTGAAGCATTGTGCTGACCAGCTGTCTCCGGTGTTCACTGACATCTTCAACACCTCCCTGGAGACATGCCACGTACCAGCCTGCTTCAAGACCTCCACCATCATCCCTGTCCCCAAGAAGCCCAGGATCACAGGACTCAATGACTACAGGCCCGTCGCCCTGACCTCTGTAGTCATGAAGTCTTTTGAACGGCTAGTCCTGTCCCACCTGAAGTCCCTCACCGACCCCCTCCTGGACCCCCTGCAGTTCGCCTACAGAGCCAACAGGTCTGTGGACAACGCTGTCAACATGGCCCTCCACTACATCCTCCGGCATCTGGACTCCCCAGGAACCTACGCCAGGATCCTGTTTGTCGACCTCAGCTCTGCTTTCAACACCATCATCCCGTCTCTGCTGCAGGACAAACTCTCCCAGCTGCACGTGCCCGACTCCACCTGCAAGTGGATCACAGACTTCCTGTCTGACAGGAAGCAGCACGTGAAGCTGGGGAAACATGTCTCAGCCTCTCGGACCATCAGCACCGGTTCCCCCCAAGGCTGCGTTCTTTCCCCTCTGCTCTTCTCCCTGTACACCAACAGCTGCACCTCCAGCCACCAGTCCGTCAAGCTCCTGAAGTTTGCGGATGACACCACCCTCATTGGACTAATCTCTGGTGGGGATGAGTCCGCCTACAGGTGGGAGTCTGACCATCTGGTGTCGTGGTGCAGTCAGAACAACCTGGAGCTCAACGCTCTAAAGACAGTGGAGATGGTTGTGGATTTCCGGCGGAACAGAGCCCAACCCTCCCCCATCACCCTGTGTGACTCCCTCGTCACTATTGTGGATTCCTTCCGTTTCCTGGGCTCCATCATCACCCAGGACCTCAAGTGGGAGCTGAACATCAGCTCCATCACCAAGAAGGCTCAGCAGAGGTTGTTCTTCCTGAGGCAGCTGAAGAAATTCAACCTGCCAAAGACGATGATCAGCGTGTCATCCGCTCTGCAGAGAGGGTGATCGGCTGCAATCTGCCGTCCCTGCAGGACTTGTTCGCTTCCAGGTCTCTGAAGCGAGCTAAAAAGATCGTGGCCGACCCCTCCCACCGCGGACAAAAACTGTTTGTGCCCCTTCCATCTGGCAGGAGGCTGAGGTCCATCAGGACTAAGACCTCCCGCCACACGAACAGTTTCTTTCCGTCGGCAGTCGGGCTCATCAACAGAGCCCGGTCCTCCACTGACTGACTATAACACTCCACCGGTCACTCCCCTTCATACTGCACATGCCACTTCATGCACTGCAATTCATCACTTTGTCGTCACTCGTCACTTTGTCACTTGTCTGTTACTTGTTCGTTAGTGCACTTTATGCTTAATATTTTTCTTTTTAACTTTTTAATATTTAAAATTTTTAACTTTATTCCCTTGTTTTATACTAACCCAAAGCCTTAGCCTTATTGTACTAACCCATTGCATTAGCATTTCATTCTACTTTATTTTATTACTTGTGCACTGTTGTCTTGTCTGTCTACTGTCACGCACTAACCGCCAAGACAAATTCCTTGTATGTTTGGCATATTTTGGCAAATAAATGTTTCCTGATTCCTGATTCCTGATCTGTGTCGGAACCTTGTCCTCTTACTACTGGAGTTCCTCAGGGTTCTGTGCTGGGTCCCCTCCTGTTCTCGCTTTACACCAACTCTCTTGGCGCTGTCATTCGCTCGCATGGCTTCTCTTACCACAGCTATGTCGATGACACCCAACTAATTCTCTCCTTCCCTCACTCGGACACCCAGGTGGCGGCTCGGATCTCTGCCTGTCTAACTGACATCTCTCAGTGGATGTCCGCCCGCCATCTGAAAATCAACCCCGACAAGACTGAACTACTTCTCTTTTCCGGAAAAGATTCGCTTACCCAGGACCTGACAGTCAACTTTGGAAACTCTGTGCTAACGCCCACTTTGACCGCTAAGAACCTCGGCATCCCACTCGACAGCAAACTCTCCCTGACTCCCAACATCACTGCGACAACGCGATCCTGTAGATACATGCTCTAAAACATCAGGAGAATACTTCCCCTTCTCACTCAGAAGGCAGCGCAGGTACTGATTCAAGCTCTTGTCATCTCCCGCCTGGACTACTGCAACTCCCTCCTGGCTGGTCTCCCTGCCACCGCCATTCGACCTCTGCAGCTCATTCAGAATGCAGCAGCTCGACTGGTCTTCCAAACTTCTGGACCTTCCAAAATTCTCCCACACTACTCCACTCCTCCGCTCTCTTCACTGGCTACCGGTGGCTGCCCGCATCCAGTTCAAAACATTGGTGCTCACGTACCATGCTGTGAATGGATCGGGTCCAGCTTACATCCAGGACATGGTCAAACCCTACATCCCAACCCGCACTCTCCGCTCTGCATCTACAAAACTACTCGTTCCTCCCTCACTGAGAGCAAAACACTCGACTACATCACGACTCTTTGCTGTCCTTGCGCCAAAATAGTGGAACGAGCTCTCTGAAGACACCAGGACCGCAGAGAGCCTTCACATCTTCCGACGCAAACTAAAGACACACCTCTTCAGACTCTACCTCGACTAAAGACTAACAAATTGTAGCACTTAAATTGTACTTGTAACGTCACTCATCTATAGCAAATTGTAAATCGGCTTAT